TTGTACAAAAACTATCTGCATGGATACCTCTGTTCCACGCGTTTCAATCGTAAACAAATTGTAATTCCTTGACTGTATTTCGGTTTAAAGAGATATGGCAGACAAATTACATTAGACGGAGACTAAACTCCATAGGCATCAAAAATGGAAACGTATGAAGGGTATCACAGAGTAAGATTCTGTAAAATTCATGGTATTGTTTATAGGTGTTTTTTTTTTTTTACTTTACATCAGGTGGCCCATCTATTATTTTCCGGTTTAAGCTCCATAAGAGAAAAAAATATGGTGTGTAAAATATTAGCACCAGCATTACATGAAAGATATGAAATAATAATGGAATGATAACCCCGCCTGCGCTAACGGTATACATTGCTGAGGCACCAGCGAGGGATGATAGGTAAGGATGAATCAGGTCAGTAGGCCCATTGTGATGAATTCAACAATAAATCAATCACGATTGTTTCCAGAGAGAACCGCGTGGACGTCGCCCCGATAGCAATGGGGTTGTTAAACCCAATTGCTAACAATTTCTGCCCCCGATGAAAGATATTAAAGATTACTTTATGACACTGACGTCAGTCTTTCTCCCATTAATCTACATGTGGTATAAAAATTGGCTACTTCTACAGAAGTGTGTCTTTATGCGCAGTGGGTGTCATCTCAATTATTATCCATTTGCGTTAAGAGAGGTCAGTGAACGTGGGATAATAGATGCCACTTACACAAATGTAGGTCAAGTAGGTAATATCTATCAGATCAACTAATCTGCCATAATGGAGTGGCCACATTAGTTTGTTTATTGGGACGGGATAAAAATATTTTCCTGCCACAATGAAAAAAAGGACTATGGATTGGAATAGCATTTTAATGCAAATAAACCGAATCATGCACTTAAAAATATTAATTTTGACATAAAAATTACCACGAAATATATAGAATACAGTAATAACGCCCATAGTAAACATCTCTTATACGTTGCTATCCCTGAGTATTCCTCAGCATGTTATGTACAGTATTATTACTGCCATATCCTCACCCTTCAAATCTAAATATTCACATATTATAATAATAATTATATATTATTTATGAATTCTTAAAAGGAATAAATGTAGAATTGATATATGAAAATATTGAACAAAATCGTATTCCAAAAATTATTTCGTTAATAGAAGGTTAAGCTAATCACTACGTAACATATGATGTATTTTATTATTTCCTATGGATATTCCCACGGGAATATATTCACGTGAGCGAAGTTATGATAAACAGCAATTATAGTTATGATTGAAAAGCTAGGTTCTTTGTGAAATTAATTTGTTATCTAACAAGTCATTTATAATTGAATTAAATATATATTGTAAGCTTTGTATGACTTGTGACATAATTATAGTATCAAAAATATTTAATTGAAGCTTTTATTAAAGTGTCAAGTCAATTCAACACTTTGACAACCAGTAACTCCTTTTTCTGTTTCCTATACATGTATATAAGTAGCACAAGGTTGTTATATTAAAGGTCTTTAGACTGTGGCAGGGTTTGGTATTAAAAATCGTGCTTCATAACGATTATTGTTCGCCACAGAATTGCAAACAAAGGATGACACACATCGAAAGTTATTCGTTGCGATATATATATATATATATATATATATATATATATATATATATATATGTATAATAGTGTATATTGCTATATATGTGTATAATAGTTATTTTCATTTATTCAGATAAAAAAATACAAGTATTTTGTTTAACTTGATAATTATTAGATACATCAATCAATATATATATATATATATATATATATATATATATATATATATATATATATATATATATATATATATATATATATATATATATATATATATATATATATATATATATATATATATATATATATATATATATATATATATATATATATATATATACAACCAACACCGAGATAATTTAGGCAAAATATTGTGTATTACTTAAATGTATTAATTTTTGTCTTTTAAATTAAACCATAAATAATACAATTCGAAAGTCTAAAAATTAATATTGAAAGTATTCTATTAGAAAGTAATAAAGAATAGCAACACCATACTATAATACACAGCATGTAAACTTATATTGTTTAAGATGGAGTAGACAAGGACAACTGATTACCAAATGTCTCACACATTGATCAAATTTTTTTTTACAACTTAGAATGGCAAACAAGCTGACGGCCCACCTGATGGAAAGAGGTAACCGTCGCTCATAGACATGAGCAGTACCATGGACATAATAGAATATACTGTTTCGCCCATGATAACCCCCCATGCGTTGCCATTCCTGAGGACTCAGGTATTATTCCTCCGTACCCCGTAAATTCACGCCATATCTCACCCTTCAAACTGAAACACAGCCATGCAAACACAACTGTTTTATGATTGAAACACGAATGGGACAGAGGTACCCAAGCAATCGACTTTTGTACAAAGTCTCCCTCTAATTATTCGTATACATTCATAACTCGTTTCATATATACACCTGGTTCCGCAAATTCATGGGCATTTTTTCCGAAAATATATGATCTGATTTCTATTTATATATTTTATCTATTTATACTTACTTATTACATACATACCTTTAATTACTGGATCTACTGGAATGCACACACAGGTTCTTGATTGTGAACTAAGCTGTCTAAATTTAAAATATAGCTGAGAGACGTAAATGGTGAAGTTAAAACCATAAAAAATGAGTATTCTCCTAATAGAAATATGGGTGAAAATTTAAAACTTTTTTAATTTATCTAACTTTTTGGTACTCTTCTATCTACTTCTCTTGTCTTTTCTCCTCGGATTACCAAAATGGTATATATGTATGTACTCAATGATTTTATTTCGTCTAAATGAATTATAAATTAAAAATTTTTTTTAAGTACTTCAAGAAAAAATTAAATTAAAACTTGTTTAAGCCTCATTTGGTCCGACTAATTTGTAAGTTAATAAATTGTAGAAATAATAACGTAAAAATGGTATTAATAATAGTTTATTTTATATATCATTAAAATCGATACAGCATAGTATATTTTCAAGTGATTTTAAGAAAAGGAGGTTCTCAGAATTCTTTTTTCACCTGCAAGCATGTAGTTACTGACTGGTATTATAGAAAATTTGTTAAAATCGGTTTAGTGGTTTAGTTTTGCTATCAAAATAACTGATTTAGCCACAATTTAAATTTGATTTTTTTTAAGAATACAATCTTAATCGTATACTTTATTATTTGCATTAGTCTATTATTAATTAGTACTCTATTATAAAGTTCGATATAGATAGGTACTAATTACTTATGTATATATATATATATATATATATATATATATATATATATATATATATACCTATAATAATAAATTCATTATCTAATTTTCTTTCTTTCTTTACCATGTTTATCATTTTCCTAAAATTTGATAAACTTTAGTGCCGATAAGGTATATATCAGAAACATAAAAAATAATTCTATATTAGTTACAAAATATAATATGAGATGTGAAAGTTAAAATTTTCATAATAGTATAATAATGTATAGACAAAATATTGTTGTTATTAAATTTTTATGATTGATTAGTCAATCTTACAGATTATAATAACTGACGATTCTGAGTGAATTGAATTTGTCTATAAATAATTCTATTTTTTTTTGTAAATAAAATATTTATTTTATTATTTTTGTTAGGTTAATATGTATATTATGTTTTATTATTTTTATATCAACTGTCCACTACTGAACATAATCCTTCTTTATAAGGGGAGTTTTGTCAGCAATTACCACGCTTGGCAGACAGGTTAGCAACCGCAGTTAAGCTTTGGTGATGTTTTATAAAAGAAAAATATAAAGGCCAGTTAATGACTTTTTAATGATATATCAAAATAAAATAACAAGTTACTTACATTATAAAATATTGTTATAACCAATTTTTTTTATTAGATGAAAATGGAACGGTAATCCTGCTTGCGCTATCAGGGTACCCTGAGGAATGGGAAATGAGGATGAAGCAAGTCAATTTGTCGGTATTAAATACATGAAAAAATAACCATGATGGCTTCCATGATGAATACCGCCTGGAGGTCGACCTGTCAGAGTATATTACTATTAATGGGCCTGTTGAATCTAATTACTAATAATTCCTTCCCCCTTGTTGGTAAATACTATTTTTAGTCAATTAAATTAATTTTAAAGTTTTTATCTTCATGCGAAATTCCTTATAAAGTGGGCATAGAGAATCGAAAACTAAACTTCCCTTTCAGTTTTAATGTTTCTCTCTTGATTTTAATGACTGGCTATACATTTATCAAGAAGTTTTCTTTATAGATAACCTAAATAAGTATTATTTAAAATTCAGAAGGCGTCTCCATCTTGCGATTATGGTATGAACCACAGTATGACCGTTGTATTTTTCTCACGTACTGCCCTGTGCTTTGTCAGATTTAGCTGGGTACCCGCGACCCTTTCCTAATCTGCTTTTAAAGTCTTTGGATACTTAGTAAAGAAGCAATTCAGAATACTGTCACGATTTTGTGTGACAGTAGACACTGGTAGACAATGAAGTCGATTCTGAAGATATATTCCCTAAACCTAGCATTAAAAACTTGAATTGATAGTTCTGTGAAAAATAAATTACGGATGAAGAATGAAACTTAAAATAGCTAGTCCAACTTAAGTCTTTTCTAAAATTTTATTTGTAGAGATCTTTAAAATAAGTATTTTCTTGTAACATTAAATTGAAATGTCAAATATATATATATATATATTCGTAATATCTAAAATAAAAAAGTATAGGAGGATATAGACTTCAAAATTAGAATGTATTTAAAATAAATATTTGATTATCTTTAATATCAGTAAAATGCTGTTGACTGATAAAAATAATTAATCAGAACTGTTTGTAATTGGTAATTATTGATTACATTTGTATTAGAAACAACAAAAGATTTTATGGTAGTGGTTGAAAATAAAAGATGGATGTTATGCAAAAATTATCACAATGGCTTTATTAAAGTATATAAATAGTATACTCGTGACTTATTATGGACATTTATTTACACACTATATACAAATTCACATAATATACTACAGCAGTCTTATAGAATGTATTTACACCAACATTATGAAATGACCGCCCTTTGTAACGGCGAGAAATTACAAAAATAGATTAAAATCTTAATTATTTGGTAAAGCGCGCGTTGCGATTAATACAATATTCACATGAAGCTTTGACTAAATGATTTTTATATTGAGTTCGTAAACACATAGACTAGACAAGATAGGCTTGCCCTGAGGACTGAGTGTCGATAAGGGGCGGCGGCGGAGGCCAGTGTCTAAACTCACGCCTTCGATTCGGGTTGTTACCCCCAAGCTCTAATGATGAATAGTCGGAATCAATTGAAGAATATATATGATCTGAAGGAGGCCTACCTTCGGGCCCGTACGACACAATTTGAGCTTGCTGTGGACGATCTTCCACGAATTCTGGTGTGGAGCTCACCCCATCAGCTGATCCTCTCATTTTTTCCGTAAATGAAAACGATCTCATCGTTCCATTTTGCATATTACTTCTCATGGTGTATGAATTTATATTGTTCCTGTAACTGGTTGACTTTGATTTAAACTTACTATCCGGCATCGCATAACGCAACTTTTTCCAAAATTTACTCTGGCCCCATTTTATTCTCGAACTCGTTTTTAAATATGGTCTCAAATCTTGATCACACTCCGCCTCGGGTAATACCGAGCTTTCTTCTATAATAACTAAAGTGTAAATTCTGGACTTTAAAATTTCGTGTAATGCTTGTCGAAACTCGAAACGTGACCATTCTGTTTCTATAAAATTTCTCGTTAGTATTATAATAATGCGCTTAGAAGCTTCTGCTGCTTCTAACAAAGGTAATGAACACTGCAAATAAGCTACACCATGTTGTGGTATATCCCTATAATGTAGACACAAATGATACGGAGGGCTACCATTTTCTAATTCAGCAGCTAATGTTTGAATAACAAAATCGTCATCTTTAGGGCTGTAGCACACATAAGCATCGTATAATTTATCAGTGTCATCGTATGCTCCAGTGAATGAAAACAATCTTATTCCGCAGCTTGTATAAAGCCATATGCGAATTGTATCTCTAAATACGAAAGTCAAAAGGATGACTAGCATGATCAGAATAAATCCAGTGAATGTAGTTACCATAGGCATGTAATTTGAGACAAACACGTTATCTATAACAGAATCTCCAGCGTAATAGTCGCTGCATATTGTGCCATTAAGGTTGAGTTCTTTTTTTTGCGGCGATGATGAGTCGATATTCCAACACCATACATCAGCCATATCAATAATTTTAGGAACATTGTCAGATATGAACGCTGTAAACCTTTGTAAATATCTACATTTACAAGACCACATGTTGTTGCCTAATGATAATGCATGTAAGTTATTTTTATTACTTAGACTCCACACAGCAAAGTCCATTAATCTATTTCCATCTAATCTTAGTATTTTCAATGAATGTAAAGACGAGAATGTGGAGTTTGCTATATGGCTGATAAAGTTATTTTGTAAATAAAGCTCGTTAAGCTGTATCAGATGTTCAAACTCGTAGCCGTTCAAATGTTTTAGTTTATTGTTTCCAAGATGTAAAATAATGAGAGAAGATAATCCGGCAAATGTTCTATTCTGTATATTTTCAACTTCGCTTGAATTTACATAGAGCGATCTCATATTTTTTCTGCCGATGAATGCATAATTTTGCAATTCTTTGAAGTTGTTTCCATCTAAGTAAACCTCGGTAGCATCCATGGGTATCTTATCTGGTATTTCCGTAGTATTTGCGTGCTGGCCCGAACAATCAACAACGTTAGTATGCCATGTTGGATCGTGGTAACAAGAGCAATTATTAGGACAAGTCATTTGACAATCGCAGGCAAAATAATCGCAACAATGGCATAATGTAAAACAATGTGTTTCATACATGCATAAGAAATCGGTAGATTGTAAATTGCTAAGTGGTATATGTGTAACACCTCTCGCATGCGTCATTTTACACAGAACATTTTCTAGATCCATAATTCTAGGGTGTTGTCTCATTGCAGTCATATTGTTTATTAAAGGCAACCATTCCATCGAGCAATCACAGATAAACGGATTTCCTCCGATATAGAACTCAGGGAGCGACTTGTTCGAAGGAACCGGGGACAACCGGAGGCTGTTGATATCTAAATGAGATATCTCATTTGCGTAAATATCGACTCTAGTAAGATTATGTTTGTCTATAAATGTATTTACTTGGATATTGTTTATGTGGTTATTATTTATGAACAACAATTCGACGCTATTTGGAATAGCTAGTGGATATATTTCAGTAATTCGGTTATGACTCACGTCTAAAGTTTTTATGTGAATTTCATCTTGAAGTTTATAGTAGTTTCCTAAAGTCTCAATAAAGTTTCCATGTACATCAAGCCATTTTAAATTACTGGGTATAAAAGCATAGTCAAACCATACTAAATGATTTTCTGATAAATTAAGCCATAATAAACTTAACAAGGCCGAAAATACTCCATTAATATCAGATATAAAATTTCCGTCCAATCTTATCGCTTCTAATTGTTTATTTCTTTGAAAACTACCTCTTTCTATGGATTGAACTTTATTTTTGGCCAGATTTAATACTTGCAAGCTCGGTAAATCCCAAAACATTCCGACAGATATATTACCAATTTGGTTATCAATTAATCTTAACCCAGTCAGCTGGTCCAAATTTCGAAACGATCCATTTTTTATATCTGTTACTAAATTCTCTCCAAGATCAAGAGTTTTTAATAGAGACAATTCCCAAATTGCAGAAGGGACATCTGCTAGTTGGTTAGAACTCAAATCTAATTCTTTCAAATCTGAACAATTTTTAAAGGCTTTTGGATCTATATTTATTAACAAGTTATTATTCAAATTCAACTTACTAAGCACAAATAAACCATTAAATAAATACTCGTCTATAGTATGTAAACGATTTTCTGCTAAATTTAATGTGTGTAAATTGTACAAAGGAAGGAATGTGTTTTCTTCAATGTAACCGATAGAGTTATTCTTAAGATCTAAAATCTGAAGGAAGAATAAGTCCTTGAACGTCTTGCCATCTATCCTCGTCAAGGCATTATTAGATAAATTCAGAATGACTAAGCGTATAAGGCCGATAAACGTTCCACCGTCAATATGAGCGCTTGAGAGTTGATTACTCGATAAATCTAAGACAAGCAGCTGTTCTAATCGGTGAAATACGCCACGGGCTAATTCAAATAGTAGGTTGTTATTTAAATATACCTCTCGCAACTCTTTCGTGCTTGCAAACGTACCCTCGGGTATAGACTGGATGTTGTTGTTGGATATATTTAATATTCGTAAAGAAATAAGCCCATTGAAAGTTTCACCTGAAATATCACTGATGTTATTATGTTGAAGTCTCAGTTCTTGCAATCTTCTGAGTCCCGTTATTTCTGACTCTTCAGTTAAAGATTTAACCTCATTATTACTTAAGTCTAAACTTCGAAGACCGGAACCGCAGCTTTTCCCAAATCCGAGACGATCAACACTTCGAATCCTATTATTAGTTAGATTTAACACTTGCAAATTATCCAATGGACAAAATACATCCGAGGGAACGACTTTTAAATTGTTGTTGCCTAAATCGAGTGTTTGTAGTTCCCGTAATCCGTTAAAAGTCCCCAGCGAGAGTTCCAAGTTTTTATTCCAATCATTGTTTTTCGATCGAATCAACAACTTTTTCAGTTCACGTAATCCCTCAAACGTGTTGCCCGGTATTCTAAGTAGTTTGCAATTCTGTAGCGATAGTTCTGAGAGCGACGAAAATCTTTGGAAATAGTTTGCTTCTAGATAACTTTCAAATAGAAGCACTTGATTACACTCGATGTTAAGGCGTTTAGTGTTTTCTGAAGATGCTGATGCTAAACTGGAACCTACGGCGTCAAGCGTCCGCACACGACACACAGTAGCACCCTCATCACCTTTCGACTGATAACAATTATCCACACCTTTCGGAGCATACGCTGCATTAACACCCAAAGTCACTAATAAAACAGTCAGCAATTGAAACATTTTCTACACTCATTTGTCAATACCGATTGAATCAAAACGGTAATTGAAAGACGAGATGACACGAAATCACAAATTAAGTCAGTTTAATGTATTAGACATTTTCAGTAATTGTTATGCACTTCACTAGTTTGTGTTTACATCGCGACGCACGTACATGCGGTATAGGAGGCAACGCGGTCGCGTGCCATCCTCATCATGTTTCATGTGCGACTGACGAAGCGCTCGGTCCGACAGTTTAGCGAGAGTGGTGCGCTCATAGCCGCCCCTCTAGCTGTACCCCTCCCCCCCCGCACCCTCGCCGTCACATAGTTACACGATCCCTCGCATGGCGCCACTTGCGCGCCGACCGCTCTCGCACAATTATGTAATGTTTTCTTAATCGAGCCACCGCTTCGGGATAAAAAAGGATACCAATGGTACGTTGAAAGAATGAAAAATATGAATCTATTGGAAGGGTTGAATTAAAATTAAGTATAGACAGTAAATATATCTTGATATTTTTTTTCATAATATGCTACTTGCAAATTATAAATGTAAATTAATCCTATAAAATGGTAACAATGTTAGTACTTACTTCAAAGATCTACAATTGCTTTAAAACAACGATGTAACAATCAAGTAGCACCCTTCGCTACTATGGGCACCCTTAATTCTTTTAGCTGTCACTTATTGAATTCCTAACACACATACTTCGGCGAAGATACCCAATAAAGCTTATTTGGTCCTGCAGATCCCTCCACATACTTTTGTCTAAGGAAACGTACAGAATTTTCAAATATAGAGTGGCCAACGTTTTCGAAAACAAATTCTGGTATCTCGTACGGAGTGGAAGAGGTGCGAAGTTGGTAGGAGTTGATAATTTGATTTCCTTGTTCGACACGTAAAGTCGTTTACGGTACTAACTGGAAGTTAGTTACGTTCAGAATATGGCTGAAGTTTTGGAAGCAAGTGTTAGGAATAAAGATACGTCACTGCTTTGTTTGTGGTCGATATTTTGGGCACGCAAGCTCGTTATGCTAAAACTTTTTGTCTAAAGCAATTTAACGTTTTCCTGCTAAGCATTAATAAGCTCAAGTATAAAATTAAAACTTATAAGAATAAAAGACATTATCTGATGGCGAAATAAACTTTAAATTAAATGAAAGAAATATAGATTTGAACAACAAAGTGTAGTTAAAGAAAACGTTCTTGAACAACAAAGTGGTTTCCCCGATGCACAATAGAAAAACTACAAGTTTCCCTATATAGGTCGCAGTTAACGCTATGCGAGCAAAAACTCTATAGCGTTAAGAGGAAAGTTTTCCAGCTTAAGTGATAAAACACGTTGAGGACATCCTAAAAAACACTTCGAGTGTTATGATATCCTTGTTATTAATGTCTGCTGGCAGGGTATCCTGTATCAAAAGTTCGCGCTGTCGAGAGTTCTTAGCGGTAGCTTGATAAATGACTTCTCCCACTTTTGTGAAAGTTGCTCGTGTATTTTTTCCCTCTGTATCTAGAGGCTGGATGTCATTGCCTGGATGGAACGTGCCGAGACTGCCGATGACATTTTCCTAACGCGATCTCGTATCATCTCGGCGGATTATTCGGATCGCTGTCGCTTTTAAACTTGCCTACGTTTTTATTTTCTTCCAAGAATTCTGTTTTATTGGAAAGTTTCTTAAGATTTTATAAAGTATGACGTTATCATCATAACCATAATAAATGTTTTTATTTTTATATTGAAAAGTTATAGTAAAAAAAAAAGTTTTCCATAATTAAAATGAATTAGAATTTGGATTTTGATATTAAGATTTATTTTATATCATTTGGAAGATTGCCTATATTTTTATATAGATACATATTGTTCCTAAATTTAATTAGAGCAGGCCCAATAAAAAAATATATTTTTATAATATTGAAAATAAACCTCGTTAATTTTCTCAATCAATCCTGTTAAAAAAATTCATATTTGTATTTCTATAATTGCTAGTTTTTACCCGCGACTACATCTGTGTGACCAGGATATGTTCAGGTACTGATTGAGATAAAAAGTCGCCTATATTCTTCTTTATTCTATATATTAATGTTCTCTATTACATTAAATAATGTTATTATTTCTCAAAATATTTATTTAATTTACAAATTGTTTTTGTTAAATCAATTCACCTCCATTTACTCTTTCTGTTTAGTTAACGGTTGACTGGTAGAGAATGTCATTAGGAACTAAGTTCGCCCTTATAGACATATTTTAATGTGTGCAAAAGTATAAATAAATAGTACCCATATGTCTATAAAATTTTTGTAGTAATTAGTTAAGCTATTAAGCGCTATGAAATAATAATAAAAATAATGATTAAATAGAAATAAACCAATAAACTCAGTTTCTCATTTATACTATTAATAAGGACTTACTCTACTTGTAAACAAAAAAAAATATTCATTTAAAAATTGACTTAGATGATGTTAAGTAAAAATAATGATAAACAGGTATAGTGCAATAAAGTATAAATAAATATAGTGTAAAATTTAATACTAAATCCCTTTCCACTCACTGATACGTTGTCTTTTCCTAGACATCTAAACATTTACAGTGGCAGAACAACCATTTGGAATTTTATCCAACCTATTAATTCTTAATAGGTTGGATAAAATCCGGAATGGTTGAATAACGACAAGGCTCTGTGCATAATTTAAAAGCAAGGAAGTGTAATTAAAATGCACATTATGTGCCTCCAAGTTTATTCTATTGTTATCTGTGATCAAACTGCGTAGGGAATATATCTTATAGGGAATCCTGTTATTGGTTGCTGTTATCTGAATGGATATTAACGTATTGCTACCGTATATCAGAAAGTTTCCCGAGGTAAAGAACATGGAGTATAGAATGAAATTAAATAACGACATAAAGATTAAAAAAATTAAAAAATTAAGCATATTATTTATTAATGGCTATTAAAAAAAAGTAAATTTATATGGTATTAGTAAAATAAAACAAAGTCTTATTGGTAATCTTTATTGATAAAACATTGTTATGTTTGAGTTTAATGAAACTTGTAAGTTATAAAATTAATAGTATAAATAAATAAGTGCGAAACAATCACGCCAATCGCCTAGTCCTCAGGTTAAGATACTCTTTGTTATGTATGTATATACCCTAGCAATGAATATCTTTCCGCACAACCTAGAACACGCAAACTCGAACCTATTTAGGAAAGTTCGTTTCCTAAATTGTCCGACCGAAAATTAAACTCAGGACCTCTTTACGCAAAGAGTACCAACCGTTGCGCTGCAGATGTCGTCATGGATCAATTTTGGTTAGTTTTACTGACATGACATATTCTTAATAAACTATAATAAAGAAAAAATAAAAATATGACCGATTCGTTAATATTACGATAATCTAACATTGTAAAAATCAGCAGGAACTACAAGGATTTTAAATTGAGTTTTGTTGAAGATTTCATTTAAAATTTCAGTTTCAGAAAAAAGTCATTTAAAACTCGAGTGCAAACCATTCCATAGTCTACATTACAATACTCTAGAAAGACCTAGTATATTATTAGGATTAGCGCCTCTAGACTAGAGAGTATTTGTGAATTTATGTTACGTGTATCTCTATCGACTATAGGATCTGTAATCGGCACCTGCGGCCAGTTCTAATACAGCCCTATTCCAGACGGCGACAAGGGCCGGTTGCTTGTACTATTCAAATTGTTCATTGGCTCTAAGCTCCTCGAACTTACAGAGTTATAATTAGGTATTTATATAATTGATACCTACAAAGAGTTTTGCCAGTGTGAATTAGCGTTTTCTGTTTTGAGTACAAAACTGTAAGAAATAAATACATTGCATGTTAACGATTAAATATTGTAATTATGTTAGATATAATATAATACACCTAATATATATACTGTATACACAGTATGAGCACACGTAATGCACACATACACATACAAGCACGCACGTACGTACGCACGCACGTACGCACTCACACACACGCACACACACAATAAAAATAACAAAAGTTTTAAATTTTCTCATGCAAATTGCGTATAAGTATTGCGCTTAATATACCGCACAACCGCCCAAGTTGTTAATAAATCTAATTCAATAAAACAGCCAAAAGTAAACATTTGGAAGTTATGAATAGACACTTTTCTAGATAACAAGGAAGATATTGATTGGAGTTGGTGTCATAGCTACAAAAAGCCGTTAATCTTAGTTATATGGTTGTGTACAATGTATATTTATAAATGTTGATTTATGTAGGATTGCCAAAGACAATGTTAGTTAATGTACTCGAAATGGTGTTATTTATAAACAATCAAGAATAATAATTAATGAGTATTCAGTAAACAAAAATAAAATTGAAGGTTTCTAAGACTAAATTAGGTGGTTAATAATAAACTTTTCATTGTTTGTAAACTTCTAAAGAAACAATTTTACTATAAGAAATCGAAGCCCGGAATCACCTTTGACTGGATTGCTTAGGGCATCCTTATAATACTCGTACATCGGCTTTGGAATCGGCTATAAAATAGACAATGCGGCGCAATTCAGAGGCGAATCTATTCAGACGAGATGATTACCTCTGATAACAATAAGTTTCATTGCTAATGGTTGCTTCTGGTAATAATTTTGTTACTGTTATTAATATGGCTCCAACTTTTACAGTGGGCGTAAGGACTTTAATAAATTTTGTTCATTTAATACTGAAGATAGGTAGAAACGGGTGGAGGGTATTGATTTTATATCCCAAATAATTGAACTCAGGTATAACACAATGGACATGAAAAACATATATGTATTTTAAATTCATCAACTATTCCATATCGATCATACGGTACTTTACGATAGGGATTACACCAGTTAATTTACCCCCTTCATTGAAAACACAAAAAACTACTTAAGCCAAATAACGGAACGTTAGAAATAAAACATTAATGAACTAGTTGGGATAATTTAGTGACATATTAGTGAAATAGTGCAGAAGTATGATATATACTTGATATCACTAAATTTTCGTTTCATTGGACTAACATAAAAATGAATCAACAACAAAAAATTGCTAGAGTTCACAAATATTAAAAAAAAAATCATTAAAAAGCTTAAAAAATGAGCACAAGAATCTTAGGAAAATTTTCAGGATTTTATAAATCTAAGTGATTCTTCGTAGTGATTCTGTTATACTTATACTACTATACAAAAAATATGGCAAACTTTATCCAACCGTCAAAGTGTCAT